GCGGCTCCGGCCCGGCCCGGCCAGGTGAGGCTGCCCCGGGGGCTTCCCCAGCTCTGGGGGTCTGCTTAGGGGTAGGGGTGGGATGGGAGCAGGAGGTCCCTAGTGCCCTCGGGGGTGCCGGGCAGAGGGAGGCAGGGCTCTGCGGGGCAGCGCTCCCTCGGGAGAGGTTTTGGGGCTCCTTCCCCATGAGAGTCTGCCCCCCCCGCCCTGCTGCGCTCTCCCTGGCTGTTGTCTCCATCCTCGCCCTGGGGGTGGGGCTGCCCCCTCTGGCCCCGGGGAGAAGAGGGGGCGAATGGCGGTGGGAGGGAAGGAGGTAGACGGCTGATGGCCAAGCCCCGGCACCCTCTCCATGAGCCAAACCTTCTCGAGCTCTTTTGCGCGTCCTCGCTCTCCAGTCGGCGGAGGCCCCCGGTGGGATGCTTTCTTTGCTTTTTTGTACGGGGAAACTTATTGTTCCCCCGACTCCTGGCACTCGGGGTTTAAGGAACGCTGCAGGTCGTGCGCCGCACCGGCCGCGCGGCACCGTGGGGTCATGATGTGTGATGAGCTCTCCCGGGCTCAGGTAGTCCTGAATCGCCACGGCGCGGCTTGCAAATAATTACTGCTAAGCTAGGAGCTAAAGGTCTGCAACAGATCCACCCATTACCTTTTGTTTCTCCTCCTCTGGTTCTGTTCAGAGCATTCGAAAGGGACAGAATACGTTTCATTACTAGCTTGACTGTCTGCTTTGTTCCAGGAGGACTGAACTGCCTCTTAAAGTTACTGGGGGGAAGCCAGAAGAAGCTCCAGTCCCCTTCCCCCTCCCCGTGGAGCAGCCAAGTGCATGGCTATTGTGCAGTCTCCAGGCAGGTAGGAATGCCACGGCCATTGGGGCTGCCTCGCGCTTGCAGGGGGGAGAGAAACCTCGCTGGGTTTCTTTGTGCAGCGTAGTGCATGCCATCGGAGGGACAGAAAGCAAGGGCTTAATCTGGCAGTTTCCAGCCTGCTATAGGCAGCAAGTATCTCATCAGCAACATCATCTCGTCTGACCTTTTGTATAACACAGGCCTTTGAACTTGCTCAGGGCTTCCTGCAGGGGAGGAAATGATTATTCCCCTCATACATAAATGAATGCTATTGAGCCCGATAATTTGTGAACTAGAGCATATACACCTATTTAGAACAGCCGGATTTTATTTTAAAAACTCCAAGCAATCAATTTACTATTTCTCATAGTAAACTGTCCTGGTGGCTAATTATGCTTGCACTAAAAGTTGCCCCTTATCAAGGCATTTCATT